AGGAGCTGTTCTGGTCTTTTGTTTCCTTTTTATTGTCTGGGGAACTGTCAGCATCTTAGACCAAGCTAAATCCAAAAATGTGAGAGAATTCCTGGAAGCTTGGTATTCAGACAAGGCAGCCATCAACAGGCACATAGAGATAAACAACATCTACACATTGTTCAAAAGAGACAAACCCACACCCCCACCAACACTGGCAGGACATGCCACTGTATATAAATAGAGAGCAAACCCCACTCCATTCTAACACTGAAGATGTTACCTAGCCGGGTAATGAAACGTTTGCAAGAAAACAACCAAGCTCAGAGAACCCCAAGGACTCCACTGCATTGCCTTTGCATGACTCTTTTCCCAGGGAAAGGAAGGCGGAACTAGGAAATCCACTTCCCCCCCTTCATGATCCATCACTGAAAGTTGGGCATTGCCATCTTAAAGAGCTGACAAAGGCTGTCCTCACCGGGGCCTTCAAACCTTGCAGAGTTTAAGAGTTGCCTGACTTTTCATAAAAATGAACGCTCTCTTTTTTCCACGTCCTGACCATTCCTACAGTTTGAGCCTAGAGAAAGCCTGTAAAAAACCCCTTCCAGAAGATGCACAATTCTGACTCTCAAGTACAAATATGTAAAGTACATACAGAAATCTAGATCAGGATTCCTCCCCCTCCCCAGCTATTCAATGATTTTTGAGCTTATTTAGAGGAATGCAATAGATTTAATTTTGGATTGCTCAGTGTTTTATTACACGTTATATATAATGGTGTTCATCATTTTCTGTGTGAATAACCAAGGTATGTGGAGCACAAAGAACTATATTGACACAATGGCTGTGCCGTGGAAGCTTAAGATGTGGTGTGAAGCACTCCAGATAAGTGCTTTCTCATTTAGCCAAAAAGGCCCTTTTGGTGGGGTTTCTGGCCTAAGGCCAAAAAGGCAAAGTAATGGCTGGGAAATGTTGAGTTTGGGAATTTCCACAGGGAAAATAAAAATGAAGTATCCTTGACAATACCACATGTACTCATATCAGTAGTAAATATTAGACATCCAATGCCATTTAAATGTCAAATATCAAGTGCTAGCAATGGAATATCAAATATAGATATTTGCTTAAGAACAATAGAATGCAAGGAGATTATCCATTTCTGTCAAATACAGAAATCCATTATTACAGCTTCCTCAACTGATGGCCATTCACCCATCTGCCCAGCCATCAGACATAACTGATCAGTAATTAACACTGGAATTTGTAAATGGTTTTCGGGGGAGGGATCTGTTAACATTATCGGTTATTAGTAATCCAGAAGATAATATCTCAGAAATGAATTCTGTACATGCTGACTTGCTGTGTTCAAACATCACATGAAATTACACTTTGGGAAGGTGACATAGTTTAGGGTGAGGTCCGCATTGTCACATCATTAATTCAGCCAGGGTTCTGCCTTAAAAACAGTTTATGCCTTAGTGATGGAAGCTACATAGATAGGGAATTCTAAACCCTAGTTTGCATGCTGCACATTTGGGAAACTCAACCAAGTTTCTAAAACGTGCAGCATGTTTGGATTCTAAGGTCCACCTTCCCCCCTCACATGCTTTCTTAAACTGATGGGTTTTAGGAGTTTACTAACCTCAAAAGCGCCTTTAAAGTTCTTCACCTGGATGGAATTCAAGAACTGGTAGTTGTTGCGAATGTCATTCCGCCTTTTGCCGGTGTACGGTACATCAACAGTGAGCACCAGGGCTTTGAATCCCAATGAATCCACCCGTCGCACCAGCTGCTCTGAGAATGTCCTCTTCCGGTGGAGGTAGAGTTGGAACCATCGTAAACCAGTTGGTGCGGCAGCAACTATTTCTTCCACAGAGCAAGTGGAATATGTGCTGGCTATGTAGCAGGTGTTCATAGCTTCTGCAGCTTTAGAAAATGCGGAGAGAAGGGGGAGAGTCAAAACTGACTTCTTTGGTTCTATAATTAAGGCCCGGCCTTAACGATGTGGTGCTTCCCATGCAGCCAATAAGTCCCAATTCTAGGACTGTGGTGTTCTCCTGGGGAGGGGTCAAAGCAGGCAAGATGGTGCTGGGAGCACCGTAATTGAAGCCCCACCCCTTTTGTATGTGCATCAACATTGTGTGCAGGTACAAAGGGTCAGGGCTAAAATTGCCCTACAGATGCTGCTGTTGTGGAGAGACCAATTGGGGAAGCTGGTTTTATTACATTCACCTGTTCAGAAAGTAGATTCCTCTTCTGACAAATGCCAACAAATACAGTATCCACATGTGGAATGTTTAAAAGTTTGGCTGTAGATGAGAATTAAGATTCTTGCTATTTTCAAACATGTCACCAAAGGCACGGAGACTGTAAATTAAGAGGCAGCTCTTCGGTGTAATGAATGCCATCACACTTTGCATATTTGGACTAGAAATGAGTTCCCCCACTTTGCTTTGATCTTGTTCGTTTCCAAATGATGAAGGTGCAGTGGTGCTGTTATTTTGCCTTTACGTAATTACGTGAACTCCGGGTGTGATTTTTTGAAAAATGAGACTCCGTACTAGAAGAAAAATAGGTTTAACCCTTGCCTTCCAAGCTGCAATTCCAACATGTCTCTCCTTGGGGCTTAATTCAGATTAGGTTAGATTCAACTTCCCTTTATGGGAGGGTTTTTTCCTGTAAACTTTCCTGCAGCCTTGGAAAGGAGATTATCTCTGTGGGGATGCAAGAGGGGAGAGTGGGGTTAACTATCCCCTTGCCCTGTGATCACAGAATTGTACTCCTTGTGTCTGCCATTAACTGCAATAGGGGAGGATATTTCCCTGGTCCCCCACATAGGTAGGGACTCATCCCGAGCAAGTCTTAGCATTTGAAATCATCATGGATGAATCCTTTTCATTCAAGGCAGTACAATTTACCATTTAGAATACCACCCAGAGAATCAGTTTAAGCATTTGGGATTTACCCATTGATTCCTGTTTCCTGGGCTAATGCTTTTCTGCACATTTAGTCAATATGTGACTCTTTGGGTTATTCCCTTCTCTAACGTGGCTGATCGTTTAGCAGTTGAACTGACTGCCCTTCCTCTACAAGGAAGGAAGAATTACTGGGTGGTTTTGGGGAGGATGGTGGGAAATAAAAATTTGCCACTTCCCAAAAGTTGTCTTCATCTGCCATTGTAGCCCACCAATGGCAGGAAGATAATGTCACGCTCTCTACACCACTCAATCTTTACCTAATCATTTGTGGTAAGGCAAAAATGTCAGACAGTGGAGGAAACTCACCATTGTCCTCCCAAGCAAGTTTGGTCTTAGCTAGGGGAATTGGAAATAATTGGAACTCATACCTGCCAAAAAGCCAGGTCTGGACAGATGTTGACCCCTGGTGATCACATTTCAATAATGCAGGATCCCAGGACATCTAGTGTATGAAGGCCCCTCTTAGAAGTCTTTGGATGAGTTGCATCCAGGCTTGGCTAAGCACCAGTGGTTTTTAGGATTTAAATGGCTGTGATGTCGATTGGTCATAGCCATTATCATGCAGGGAGCAACCTACACTTGGCAGGATAGATTAATATGCAGACTAACCAGCATCTGGTGCAGGTCAGTTTTTCTCATTGTATGATAAAGATGAACCTCCTGATGGAGTTTTGCCTGGTTAAGCACCTGCCAAATTATATTTTGAATATGGTGCTGACTCAAGAGCATGGAAGCAAGGCCTGGGTAACAAGGCACAGAGAGATAAAATGACAGGAGTGTTTGCTGGCTACCTTTGGCAATGGACTGACCTATTTCCTCCTTCCTTGCTCCACCTCCAGACAGGCTGGAGGCAAGGCTGTAGCTTTACTGGCCCACAGGATAAATGGAGGATATGTCCCTGGATTCAGTGGGCACAGCATACTCAGGCCCATTCTCTCCCCTCCCCAAATCCTTCCATTCCACTCAGCCCCATTCAGAGAGCAAAACAACCAGAGTTGGACTAAAAAAAGTTCATCCGTGGCATCCTACCCCATTTCAGCCTCAGTAGTTGTACAATTGTTATTTTTACTGTGATTGTAAATATTGCATGGTAGATGTTGATTGTATTGCTTTGGTGTAATTTTAACTGTTACTTTTTACTTGTGAATTCTGACTGTAATGGGGGAGTGCATAATAAAAAGAATTGTTTGTTTGTAAGCAACATATTTGTTGTTACTCTGGCCACATTATGGAATTCTTGCAGATGTAATCCTGTAGCTTTCAGTCCTCCATTTATCTAGTTATTCTAGAGATTTCATATCAGAAGAATTGGATGCTTGGCATATACATTGCTTTGAGAAATTTCCAAAAGCTTTGATATAGTCCATAAAACACTAGAGCTCTTCTTGATATTCTGTTGCTGTTTCCATCATCCACCTAATATTAGCAATATGACCTTATGTTCCCTTGTTCCTTCTGAAGCCTACCTGTTCACTTGCCACTTCTCTTTCCATATAGGGCTCTAATCTCTTGTGAAGGATTTTCAACAGTATCTAGCTGGCATGCGGTAGGTATTAGGGCTATTATCCTATAGTTATAGCATTCCTTTAAATCTCCCATTTTAGGAATTGCAACATTGATAGACTTTTTTCTGTGTGGTCCATGCTGCCTTTCCCCCCGTATTTGTTGATAGAGGGCTGTCTTGATCTATATTGTTTCCATCCTAGCCCCTTTTAAGAACTCTATGGAGATTTCACCCACTCTTGAGGCTTTCCTATTTGCCTATTAGTCCATCTGACTTGTTCCTGAAGCACCATTGGTTCATCCTCAAATTATTCCTTCTTGACCATGGTCTCACCTGAGTTGGTCTTCTTGTACAAGTTTTCCATGTATTTCTTCCCTTGTTTGTTCCTTACGTCACTGAGATGAGATGGGAAGGTTCCCATGATTCCTGAATAGATCCCTTGTTTTTCCTATATTGTTATTTTTGTTCTATTTATCTACATTCCAAGTTCAGATATACCTCTTTTTCTCTTCTTGCCTGCTGTTGGAAGTTTGTATTAAGTTCTTTAATTTTCCAAAAATCAGTGCCAGGTTTTTTTCCTTAGCTTTTTCTATGGCTTTGTTTGAAAACCACTGTGTCCTTCATTTCTTTCCACTTTTATATGCTTTCTGGCTTCCTCTTTTTTTACAACCATTTTAATTTCTTCCCACAATTCTTCAGGCACTCTATCCACAAGGTCCAGGCCTTTGAATCTGTTTCTAGCCTCATATTCTTCAGAAATGTATTCAAGGTTGTATTGCATTAGAGTTGGATCCTCTTTAGTCTCTTTCAGGCTGATGCCTATTTCTAGGATTAGTAGCTAATGGGCTGATTCACAGTCAGCCCTTGGCAATGTTTGCAAGTCAGCAGAGAACTTTTCCACTTGTTGCTACATAAGATGTAATCAATCTGATGATGGGATTGTCCATTTTGAGACATTGAGTTACAGAGCTGTCATTTCGATGGCCAAAAAAAATGTATTAGCAATGAACAGAATATTTTCTACACAGAAGACTATCAGTCATTATCCTACATCATTGTAGGTTCCTAGTCCATATTTTCCAAATATTGACTGCCTTAGAAGTCCAACCCCATTTCCCTGACTGTAAGCAGCAGTGCAGTCAACACTGGGATGGGGCCAAGTGAAATACCTCGGCTGGACTTATGACCAGGCAGTCACAGGCAAGGCGGCAGCCATTCTATTGGAGGAAGAGGGCAATGGATGGATGGATGGATGGATGGATGGATGGATGGATGGATGCGGACAGACGGATGGACGGACAGATGGACGGACAGATAGACAGACAGACAGACAGATAGATAGATAGATAGATAGATAGATAGATAGGATGGATGATAGACAGATCACACACATACACACATTTACACACCAATATTAAAGTAGTAAGCCAGAATTCTACAGTCAATTAGGCCATATACGTTTGAGCTGTGTTAGGGGAATGAATAAAAAGCCAAAGCAGGGAGGGGCCAGACAGGTCATCGAACCAACTGAAGGCCAAACTCCCCTTTGGAGTGTTTGCCTCAGGAATCTTCATGGCAGACAGGGAAAGCAAAGCAAGAACCCACCTCCAAAAGTAGCTTTAGCAGCAGCAGATCACTCATCAGGCTCTTTTTTGTCCTCCCATGCCCACCACTGTCTAGGCGGGGGTCAAATTGGTTGCTTAAGGAACTCTTGTCCCCGAGAGTGGCATATATTTTGCGTGCAGCAGTTCAAGCCGAAAGAAACTGGGTGGACTCATGATGCAAATACACTGTGAGAAGCAGGTAGCGTGTTCCGTTCTCTCTCTATAAATTTACAGTTACAATTACCATATAGGTTTAGAAGATGATGATAGATAGATAGATAGATAGATAGATAGATAGATAGAGATAGAGATTCATTGATTGATTTACAATAACTTGTTTTCTTTGAACCTGCCATAATCCCATACCAAATCCCAGTTGATTGCATGATAAATTATTCTTGACCTTTACCATTGCTAGGCAAAGATATTCTGGCATACCTCTAGCTGTGCTCTGCTCTCCATCCGGACAGGCCAAACCGTGGAAGCCGGTAGGAGCAATCCCCACTGGGAAGTCAATTGCAGAGCCAAGAACAGTGGTCCTTGGATCTATTGTAGACATATCCCGGAGCACACGTGGCCGTAAATAGATTCTGTGGGAAGGAGAGAGCAGAAGCAGCAGGTATCATAAGAGCTATGATATTTCCAAAGAAAGTCCAAAGAAATGAAACCTCCATATCTATCTGCTTATCCGTTTCTCTTCCTATCCATTATTCAATTTATCATAATAACCTCAAGCAATATCCTAGATTTTGAATTCTTGAATCTTGAATTCTGCAGTGGCTGAGAGCCACCAGATGTGCACTGCAAAAATGGTATGTGTGTCACTACTGCCATCTAGTTGCCCAGATTTTTTCTCCAGATCTGATAGCCCTACAATGGCACTGGACTTGCTCAGTTTGCAAGGCACATGGAAAAGGTATCTTATGAGTGCAGCCTTGTGAAGGCGAATGCTTTTGGTGTTGCTAGTCTTGATTCCTAGTGACTGCATGGAGATGTCCATGCTGTTTTTTTGACAACGTTTTCAGAAGTGGTTTGCTGGTGCCTTCCTCCTCTGCCTGAGAGACAGGGACTTGCCAAAAGTTGTCCAGTTGGCTTTGTGCCTAAGGGAAAACTAGAATCAGGTTTTCCCACTCCTGGTTCGGCATCTTTAACCACTACACCAAATGGCCTCTGAAGGAGAGATGCCACAGTCTATTAAAACAAAAGTTACCTTTGCATTTACTCAGTTCTATCCTTCAGTTAACTTTTACAGTGATGGACAATGAATGGTAATCTTTTTTGAACAGCGAGGAAGGGACTAGAACAGGGAAGAGAGAAAACAGCCATCTTTCTTACTTGGATACAAAAGTTGCATGCAGTCAGTCTTTTTATTATGTAACCTTAGCTTTCCCAACCTAGTGTCTCCACAAGTGCAGGGATCGTGCTGGCTAAGAAACAGGGATTTGTAAATGCCTTGTTAATAATCTAAATGGATGCCCTGCCTCCGTTGGGCAGATACTATGAGACTCCTTATGTTTTGAAAGGCTTGATTGTTTCCTGTAGCAAAAGTGGGACCAGGAACTATTTCAACAACTCTGAGGTAACTAGAAGCTCAGGTTTAACCATCCAGGCAGTGATTACTCTCTGCTGCTCACTGTTGTAACAGGCTACACTGTGTCACAGTGTGAGAAGTGACCAGAACACCCATCAAAATTAGGATGTTATGAGACATCATCTGTTAACATAATCACAGTCAATTTCTTTTCCTAAATCAAATTTCTAGTCTGGTGAATACCAGATCATTCGCATCTAGCTGAGTTTGTATCAGATAGTGGGTCAAGAGAATAATAATTCAGTTGGCTTGCTGCTAGATCTCAATGTGGACACATCTGATTCACTTATAAGTAGTTACTGTATTTATCGGTGTATAACACATACTTTTTTCCTTAAAATTTGGGGCTGAAATCCTAGATGCATGTTATATGCCAATATTCAAGCGGCAGGGCTGGGAGAATAGAGCCTTCATCTGAGCCAGGGCTGTAACCAGGGCAGCTCCGCAGAGCAGGAGGTGAGCGGCGGATGTGCGAGCCAGTGAAAACTGGCACTTCCCATTGCTCGCGTGAGCGAAAACTGTGTTTTCATTGCTCACGCTAGCGCGAGCTCGGGAAACATCACTTTTCTTCATTCAAAGAGGTGCTTTTTCCTTCATATTATGTATTTAGCTTATAAGTGGTATAAATATTAATAAACAAGAAGTTCAGAGCTCCCTTTATGTTGCTTCCAAGTCATTTATTTTAAATTTAAGATTTTTTACTCAAACTTCCTTCTTAAAATTAAGGTGCGTGTTATACGCCTGTGCGTGTTATATGCCGATAAATATGGTATTTTCTTTCCTTACTTTCTATCCTACCTTTTATATGCCATGAGATTGTCTTCTCGCGTATAACATTCATCAGCACCCGCTGCAAAATAATCCCAGACGGCCTTGGGAAGATGCTTTTTAGCATAAGCTTCAAAGTCTGACAAACAGACAAGGGCCATTTCAAAGCAAAGCGGGAGGAACCTGGTAGAAAGAGAGAGACTGAATAAATATGACAAGTATAGAATTCCAGGTGAAAACCCTGAAATAAACTTGAAAAAGAAATAGTGTTACAGTCAAGAACCTATTATCTAAGGGATGAGCAAGATCTCACAAAAGCATCTGGAGTTCATTTAGGTTATTTCAGAAAGGTAAGCCAAGCAAAATTTATTGTTGTAATCCCAAGTTATTGCTATATTATACATTTATATTCACCTTCACCCCAAAAAGGATTAAAATGTAAAGTTTACTTCCCTGCCTAGTTTATAGACCTGGTACTTCTTGGTCATCACCCATTCAGGCAGTAACCAGGCCCAACCCTTGATAGCTTTTTGATATCAGCCAGGGTTGGAAAAATAAAATAATTGCCACAAGATGCACGTATTAATGCCTTTTGGTAAGAAAAAATCTTCTACAAGAAAAGGACAGGTACATGTATTATTTTGCATTATTATATTCTTGAAGCTTATTTGTAGGACAGAAATAAGTGCCAAAGGATTCACTTTCCCCAACCCACCATGTGTGATCAGTCAAACTGTAAAATGCTCAGTAGACTCTAGAATAGGTAGGGAGGGAATCTGATCAATAAGTAGAAGTTGGAACTTCAACAAGTAAATTATTATAAAGAAAGCCATAATAAAGTCATAGAATGCAAGTGTGTTCTGTGCAGAACAATGCTTCATTGGCCTCCAATGAAGTGCCTGCATTGATAAATGTCAAAAGGTGGGCAGGAGTGGGCTAAATCCCCATTCAGAATTTGCAATAACCACCCTGCTGTAAATTTTAACACTGCTGGTCAAGTTCTCTTGATCTATCTTGCCTGGAAAGGCTACAGATTGGTCATGCTGAACAAAATAAACAGAATCTGCCAGTGATACAGTTAAGGCTGAACTTTCAGGCTGAGCTCTACAGCCCCACAATCTCAGGAGCCCCACAGTCTGAGCCTTTGAAATGTGTGGCAGATCATGGAAGGAGGAAGGAGTCATCGCCTAAGGGCCCCACAGTCTAAAATGCCCTAGGGCACAAAGCTGACTAAGTCACTTTAGCTGTCATTGGAAAGGTACAAGGAGAGGCATAGGTTTGTCTAGCTGGGAACAAATAAATGGAGATTCTCCAAAGAAAGGAAGTTCTCAAGGAGAGAAACCTAGTAAGGCCTTTTTAGGTGTGATGTCTCTCCCACGGTTCCTTGGACATTCTCTCTCTCTCTCTCTCTCTCTCATATCTGTCTGTCTGTGTGTCTCTCTATATCTATCTTATATAGCTATCTATCTCACAGTGATCCTAGGTGGGTCACAACAACTGCTTCACAATGATTTACAAAATAACTTATCAAAATAAGCATGTAAACTTTTCTGAAGATTAATATCACCATATGGAAGGAAACAATTATTGCTGGAAATGTCCTTGTTATCAGATAAAAGTCTGTCAGTAGCAGGAGCAGAACAAAGTTGTACAAATGTAAATGTAAATTCAAATTCAAATTCAAATTTATTTACAGTAATTATGGTTGATGACCAGCAAAGTGAAAAAGCTCAGAAGTAATGATCAAATGCAACACAGTTGTATGATATTTAAACTTAAAACTTAAAAAATGGAGACAAGAGAAAATTAAACAAAATACAGTATATGAAACAGAATTACACAAGCCAAATTACAGATTGTCCAGCTGCACGCCTTGCCCCATCATCCATTTTCCTCCCATACCCTTCTAAAAACTTACTTTTAGTACTGGAATGGCAGCAGATAAAAGACTTTGCTCCAGCAGGGTTTTTAAAAGAACGTGGAATGTGTACGAGCTCTTAGTAAGAACAGGAGTTCCTCAGTTTGTGAAGGATAGATGTTAGAGATTTAATAAACTGCTTCAAGAGATTAAATCTTAACTTCCGCAATAAACTTTGTACTGTTTGTCCTGTTCTGAAAACGCTCTGATCATGCAATGTTAGTTGCATATCCAAAGCCCTGGAAACTTTACAGAAGCAAGAATGATGAAATCATTATGCAGAAAGCAGCGTGGAAAAAAAAAACATGGGTAGAGCTCTTGTGTCTTACAATGTATATCCCAGGGAAGATCTGCATACTTTCAGGAGCATTTATAATTGGCAGATTTCTTCAGAATCTACGATTCAATCCTAGATACTCATATGTTTAGCAATTAGTTAGCACATATATTTATAACAATTAAATGTTTCCTTATGTAATTTGTTCTTCCCCATAGAAGCTTGCTTGTAAGGACAAAAGAGGGCTTTTTTACAGGTGGAACTGCTACAGGAGGAATTACAGGAGGAACTGCTACAGATACAAGAAATCATGGACCTTTCAAAGCAAGAACAGGCAAGTAAGCAGACAGTGCAATTCCTAAATTTCATTTTGACTCTTGTTAGTTCATTCATCTGCTATTAGTACATGCAGAGAAAATGGCACAAATTTCACCCCTTAGATTCTGCCCATATTCTCTGGATACTGAGCCCTTCCTCCCACCCCCAACCCCACCCTGGTTGTCTGAGAGCCATTATTTACATTGCAAGAACTCAATTTCCTACGAAGGCCAGGAGGTCCGTGTGCAACTGCAGGGGGCTTGACCATACTTTTCTTTCTTTCTTTAAAATTTCACCTTTTAACAATAGTAAGCCAGCTGTTAACCTTTGTACACTTTCTTTTTTAAAACCCAGTTCTATTATGCAAATGAATGAATCCACCTTTAGAAGTTTGGTGAGTTTTAGATGCAAAGTGTGATTCTTAAGGCGTTTTTATCCAATGAAGTAAACTCTTTGGCATACAGGGGTGAGACAAGACTGTATACTCTCCCCTTATTTATTCAACCAATATGTGAATATGTGTTGAGGGAAGCTGGATTGGAAGAAGATGAACATGGTTTTACAATTGGAGGAAGAAAGATCAATAACCTGGACTATGTTGAAGGCCTTACTCTGATAGCCAAAAAATGCAAAAGATCTGCAAGTTCTAGTAATGAAAGTCAAGGAACACAGTGAAAAATGGGACTAAGATTAAATGGAAAACAGTCCAAACTGCTGACAACAGGTACAGCAACCAGCCTTAGAATGGACAATGAAGTGGTGGATAGCTTCCGCCTTTTAAGACTGACTTTCAAGAGTTGAGGAACCAGAAGTCAGGAAATATGCCACAGATTAACGTTTGGTAGACGGCCTTGGAAAAGTTATTCAGTTGCTGGGGTATGTTTATACCTACAAAGATCAGAATTGTGCAGGCAATGGTTTTCCTTGTGCTAACTCTATGGAAGCAAAAGTTGGACTTTGAAGAAGCAGGATAGGAGGAGGACTGACACTTTGGCGAAGACTTGGACAGCCAAGAAAATTAAAAAGTGGATAACTGAACAAATTAGTCCAGAGTTCTCAAGCAAGGCACAAGTGGACATATTATGTGAAGACCTACACACACACACACACACTGCATCCTTTCCTGTGGGATGCTTACGGTTGTTTTATGTTTGTGCTTCTCATCTCCCCTGTGAATAAAAGGGCTTGTTGTAACTGAAGTGACTTGATTGTGGACTTTGGACCCAAAATCGAGCCATGGGATGGGGCAGCCATGGGGTGAGAGCAGAATGAACTCTAAATAGCCACACTTCCAGCCCCCAGTATCCTGGTCACAGCAAGAAATGCTGCAGAGGATTGCTCTAAATCACTTCAGGCCTTTCCATTGTATCTGATTGCTAGCAGGTCTGAGAAGAGAGAAGGAAGGCTGTGTGTGTGCGCGTGTGTGTTTGCTGGCAAAGAGGCCCAGGAGATTTGCAACACATATCACTTTCCACAGGAAACAGATAAGCCATAACTGCAAATACTAACAGAAACGTTTGCTGCATATTTTGTCCTTAGGGGAAACATTACTTTTGCCAGGCAGATGTTTTTTACAAGAACTCAAGGAGCAGAGAAGAGTGATGGCTGAATCTTATGTTACGGAGTTAAACAGATTCTCTCAAACATATACACTTGGGAAACTTTGTGAATCACTGATAAAAGACAGGGTGATGTGCTGCTTGCATTCAGCCATGCTGAAAGAGAGGCCACAGAAAGAGTGCAACTTGACCCTAGATAAAGTAGTAGACCTAACCAGAGCAAAGAAGCCTTGATGTCTCAAAAGCAAATTTTGGGTGCTTCTGGGACTGAGAGATTTGCTTTGACACTTTATGGGCAGCTGTCTAGATGGCAGAAATCCATAAATGTTCTGGCTAAGTCAAGAGCTCGTGAGTTTCCAGAAGGAGTGATGGGTTGTACGTTGATGTGGAAAAACTCACCCCCCCAAACTGTCCAGCATTTGTTATAAGTGCTCTGGTTAAAGGGTAGGCAACAAAGCAAGTCTTTCATCAGCAGACACAAAAGAGAGAAGCATGCTGTTTGGGGGCTGTTACGCTGAGAACACCAATGTTCTCAGGAAAGTAAATGGAAATAGTTTGTGGCAGTCTGTTACAGCTGTGGCTGGACTGCCAGTGCTACTTAAGCCACATATAGGAGTTGAGGTGAATGTTCTTTCACAGCTGGTAGCAAAATCACTATCGGGGTTGGTACAAAGGATGCATCCCTTGGTGAATTTGGTAGGGCATATATTCAACCGGAAAAGACCCTCATGCTGGGAAAGATTGAAGGCAAAAGGAGAAGAGGATGGCAGAGGATGAGATGGTTAGATA